GTAGATGTGGGTGAAACATCCTGCCCGTAGTAGCTGTTACAAACTTTTCTACCAATTCTGATGTGTGTGCAAATTGTGATGAGTTTTTGATCTTTAGGAACTCAAAAATGTGATTGTTCTGAGTGAATAATAATAAGAATTCCTTAGATTCCAACAGGGTCCTACACACTGTCAGTGCTCGGGCCCTACTTAGAATGAGACTGCGCTGCCTTTACCTTGTGGGATGCTGCTGTCCAGCAGGATGGGGTTTCCTGTCGACTTCACTACGTTCCCTGCATCATCAAAGGTCACCTTCAGATAACCCAGGTATTTTCCAAAGGCATAGGCCTGCACAACAGGAACCTGCCGCCCGTCGTCTGATTTCACCATGAAGGGATAAAGACCGGCTGGTACTTCAGAAGAAGGAGGTGCTCCTGAAAAATAAAACGGTGGAAAAATAGGGACAATGAGGGAAGCTTAAAAACAGCAGTCTGAAGCTGTAGCTGTACTAACATGTAGTTTATAACCACAGTTTGAAGGGTGCAAATAACTGCGTTCATTAAAGATGCAAAAGATGCTCATCACGTTTTCCCACAGCTCAAACTGACATCTTCAAATGCTTTGTTTCGTGCGACCAACAGTCTGAAAACTAAAGAGTCTCCGTTAACAGTGACACAAACTGGAGAAAAGAAGAAAATCCTGTCTACTGGGTGGATGAGCCCAGAAGAGCTTTGCTGTTTTTGGGAGGCAGTAATCTGCCAGAGATGAAAAATAAAACCGCCACATAAGTGTTCACTAATTTGATTAGAAACCTTGTTTATTTAAAGTTCAAAGATTCACTTTTTTTGAGAATATCATCCTAAATGTGTGACTTCATTCCAACTGATGTGTTTGACTTTCCCTGACGTTGTGTAATCTCTGCTGAAACTCAACAAAGTTTGCCTCCACATGGTCCCAATTAGACTTTCTTTTCTTCTGTCGCTAAGCTCTGCTGGAAAACTCGACTGTCCATTTCTAATGTTTGGTTCAACATTTTCTTTCTTAATATCTTATTCAGTCATCACACAGTTTGGTTACAGACGTTAGAGGCACCAGCTGCTTTGGAGCTTTTCAAGTTTTAGGAGGAAATGTTATAGTTTAGCTATTGTTTGCTGGTTACAGTGTGAACGCTCATTTAGTCACAGAAAAATGAGCCTTTGTGCTTTCCCGCTATTTTCACTGCTGTCATGGCAACAACACATCGCTGGTTGTTTCACAACTGTTACAGTGACTCAACAAATTTCAAAGACAAGTTGGATTCTGACTAACTCGGCACTGAATCATCTCAATTGTGATAAGAGGAACTTCAAAAGAAAAGTTAATTATATCCTGGCAGAGCCGCTTGATGTTGTTGGCGTTCTTGCACACCAGTATTGTGCCGTAAGCACCAGGACATGCTCAAACCTTTTAACACAGAAAAAGAAAAAAATGACAGAGGCAGATGTGTGACAAATAATTGAAAAATGGTCCAGTGACCGTAAAGATTCTCTTCAAAAGCTGCTCACTGCTGGTCCCGACAGAAGCCCTACATTAGAGTCTAATCTGTGAACAAGTGGACGCTTCTGATGCTAATGTTTCCAATAAGAAGGAACACTTTCAGGCACATTGGCTGATTGTGTCTTCTGCTGCTAGACGTTCTAAACACGAGTCGAGTGTATACATAACTGTGGACCCATGTCTGTGTTTTTCTTCAATTAGCAGCTTTAACTAAATTGTACAGTAAAAACATTTAACCTCACAGGAGAGCTTGAATACATCCCAGTCAGCTTTCGAGGACACTCTTCCTCTCCAAAGTCCAAACAAGGACTAAGTGCTGCCTGATCCTACGTGTAGCTTCGTAGTGTTTCTACAGAGTTACACGCTGCAGAAAAACATCTCTCTGTGGCCTGACGTCTAAACCAGCAGCTCACTTCCTCTGTCTCACCACCGACTGCTCACTGCTGTTTATATATAACTCTACGCAATTATTTACGGAGACCAGACTCATGTCGACAGCATGTTTACTCCTGAATGAGCCACAACTATGAAGACTCAAAGTTTCCCTTCATCCAGGACCAGAGACAAAGCTGACAGAGACGGACAGTGTTTCTGCCCATTTCACAACAGGCATGGAGATGTTGTTTTAAGTTATCACACAACTAACAGGGAAGAAAGTTTACTGCCATACCAGCTCGCCCAGCAGGCAATAGGACTCATTAAAAAAATTAAAGCTGGATGGATAAAAAAATCCACTGTTCTGACCTCTCGACTGCTAGTTTTGTCAGAATCAACTGGATTTGATCACATTGCTCATCACAGAAACCAGCCTCAGCTGAACTACAACTACAAGACCGACATGAACAGAGTGTCTGAGTTGCAGATGATTTCTCACAGCTGTGATGTCACTCACATGGCAAAAAGATCTCTGAAAATGTCCACAAATCGGTGGAAAATGCTGTAAAACATCATTGGCATGATGGCTTTGGCATGTAAGCCTGTTACATGCTCACAGTTAACATTTAAACATCAAGTGTTCAGAGTTCTACATTTAGGAGGTTGACGTGTCAATTATTAGCCTGGTGTCACGCTACATCTGTCACAGCAGCATGCAGTGTTAGCATGAATACCCAGCAACACACCAGTACGTGGAAACATGAAGTCTCAGTGCTCAGGGCTTTCTAATATGTTTTTCTATAGGCTGTATATAAAGATAAACGTACCCTCTGGGTATGAAAAGTGAAACCAGTGTGGAAGACACCTAAACCTGCATTTTTTTTCCTGACAGCCAGCAGGGGGCGACTGCTCTTGCTACAAACAGAGGTCAGACTATACAGACGTCAGTGAGAAAACGACCCTCCTTCTTACTTGATTTCCAAATGACTTCAGTAAACATTTTTCTAAAGAGTTTATGGTTTTAATTACCAGTTTCAAGTCTCCTGCATATATAACATAATGGTACTTTATGGTTGTATTTTGAAGATTTTGAATTGAAAACAGGCAATACAACAGAGCATGTTTTACAGTGTGGCTACAATATGACGTCTTCGAGCGCTCAGGCAGATCCACTGCTCGTTACGTCTAGTTTCAGAAGACAAAGATAGCAAAGGTCGAATTCCAAACCTTCACAACTGTAGTCTACAACCCAACAGGTGACGACATGGTGGCTGTGTTCATGTTTTACATAAAGTCTGGTTTTCCCTGAATTGTGTCAGCATTTTGCTCCAAGCATTGTCACAGCATTTCAATTCATTTAGAGCCTTGAAGAGAGAAGCACAGCTGTGTGAGCTCACTTGCTTGCCAACTTTAACTTTAAATTATTTGTAATCTTATTTTATATATATATATTTTCATTTTTTAGATATTTTATTGTTATTATTATTCTACTTTTTCTTTTCTTTTTTTAAAGCTAACTTGCTAACTGCCAGTTACCACAAGTCACATCTGTTAGTATGCAGAGATCTTCCGGGGTCGGTGCTAGACTGGATGATTAAGCTTAACCTTGAGCCATTATGATAGCTATAGGTATATAAATAGGTTCATATTGTGACAGAAGTGTCATAAACAGCTGTATCTGCCTTCCTACCTGTATAGAGGAAAGTGTTGCTGTGTCCTCCAATGACGACGTCGACTCCGCGGACCCTCTTGGCGATCTCCTGATCCACGGTGAAGCCGGAGTGGCCCAGAGCGATGATCTTATTGATCCCCAGCGTCTGGAGCTTGTTCACCTGCAGCTGCAGAGAGCTCACCTCGTCCTCGAACTGCAGGTGTGGTCCTGTGCAGAAACATGAACAGTGAACGAGCTGCAAACATCTCAAAATACCCTCAGGCCAACACAAAAACACACTTCAACATTTAAAAAGACATCTGAACGCCAGTTAAACACTTTGATCTTTGATCTAAGGGCGACTGTGGCTCAGGTGGCAGAGTGGGTTGTCCTCCAATCACAAGGTTGGCAGTTCGATTCCCTGCCCCTACAGTTGAAGTGTCCTTGGGCAAGACACTGAACCCGACATTGCTCCCAATAGCAGGCAGCACCTTGCATGGCAGCTCTGTCGCCATTGGTGTATGAATAGGTGAATGAGAAACACACTGTAAAGCGCTTTGGATAAAAGTGCTACATACATGCAGATCATTCACCATCTTTACATCCGACTTAACAAAATTTTAAAACAACATAGTACCTGAATGACATTCCTTCTTTTCAAACGCAATTAGCTCTGTTCGATCTCTGGCAACAGGACCAGAAGAACTAGATTTATGTTTGCTCAAAATCTAAAGGATCGTACAGATAAGGAAGATGACTGTACAACATGTTTGATATGTTTCTGCTTTAAAATGGACACGATAAGCAATAACATCATCAAAAGCTACATATTTAATTTTAATTTTTGTTGTTGACTAGCTTTGATTTTTTCCAACATGACTGCATGAGATTTAATGACTTCCAGTGATTGTCAAACCACCAACTTTCTGTCACCTTTGACTCGACCTGCAGACACTTAATCCATGTTATTACCATCAGTCTCTCATCAGTCTGTTCCAGTTACTGACAAGCTGACAAAATGTGAAGCGAATGAGAGTCACAGATTGTTGACAGTTTTAAACGCTGTGCAGGCGAAAACAGAAGGAGGAGGATCGTATCACTAACTGTACTGAATTCTATATGTTACTGTG